TAATTTTTTCATTTTGTTTCCATTTCCGTGGGGTTGGAGAAAAGAGGAATTGCCAGTGGGATTAAATCCTATGCCCCAGTAGTGATATTTTGCCCTGTGTCTCTCTGCTGAAGAATTCCATTCTGGACTCTTATCATTTCACCCCCATCACCACGTCTTCAGCTGTCTGTCTGCCACAAAGCATCCTTCACACATACCAGATGGTGGTTCTAGCTTCTCTGACCTCAGGGCCATCTGACTAAGGCCCTGTGGTTCATGATCCTGGGTGCATTCTAGAATCATCCAGGGAGCTGTAAAAAGCACCCATACTTGGGCTGTACTCCCTGAGTTTCTTTCTTTTCTTTTTTTTTTTTTTTTAATTTTATTTATTTATTCATGAGAGACAGAGAGAGAGGCAGAGATACTGGCAGAGGGAGAAGCAGGCTCCATGCGGGGAGCCCAACGTGGGACCTGATCCCGGGTCCCCAGGATCATGCCATGGGCCAAAGGCAGGCGCTAAACTGCTGAGCCACCCAGGGATCCCACTCCCTGAATTTCTGACCTCACTGGGCCAGGATGGAGTCCTGAGTGTGGATACTTTATTTTATTTATTTATTTATTTTTTAAGAAAGAGAGAGAGAGGCAAGTGTGGGGTGGGGTGGGAGGGAGAGAAAATACCAAGGAGGCTCCACACCCAACATGGAGCCTGATGCGGGGCTTGATCTCAGGACCCTGAGATCATGACCTGAGCCAAAATCAAGAGTCAGACACCTAACCAACTGAGCCACCCAGGTGCCCCGCCGTGTGTGGATAATTTTACAAAGCCCCTCATGGATTGTTTTAGAGCCAGGATGAGAACCACGAGCTTAAACTTTCCACCCAGGACCCAAGCAACGGAAATGAAATTTCATTTGAGAAATGAAATAAAGAGAAAGCTTATAAGAAAATGATATAATTTGGAAGAAAGAGATATGGGGGATGGTGGATCCTCTCTCTAGATGTCCCCTCTCTTGGGAACAAATATTCACAACTGCTGCTCACTCACAGACCTGAAGGACAGAAAGCTTGGTGGTGGGGAGGTGCTGGGCAGAGTGCCCGAGGGTGACCCCTCCTTAAGAAACGGATTCACCTTGGGTGGCGTTATGGGTTGAGTGCTTGACTCTTGGTTTCAGCTTGGGTCCTGATCTCAGGATCGTGGGATCGAGTCCCATGTGGGGCTCCATTCGGAGTCTGCTTGTTTCTTTCCCTCCCCCCGCCACTCCCCCCACACCTCAAATAGACAAATAAATAAAATCTTTCAAAAAAAAGGAAAGAAAAATGGATTCACTTTCCTACTGTTCCAAAGATGATGGAGCACCACTTCGGGGACAACCGCTAAAATTTGGGTAGCATTTCTCAATTTCACACACATTACCCTTTGATGCTCCCAACAAGCTTATAAAGGACAGGATTACCCACCCCACCCCTATTTGGCAAATGAGGAAATTAATGTCCAGAAAACTGACTTGCCCCAAAAGATTACAACCACTGAATGGTGGAGCTGGGACTTCAGTTCTAACATTTACTGAGCATTTATTATGCAAGGATTTAGGCAAGTATAAATCATAGGATTATGAAATTATATATTCCCTAATTACTTCTTTGACACCATCTTCTGCTATTCCCTAATTCACCCCTGAACTGCTGGCTGCCCACCTCTTGGCTCTGGCTGATGCGGCAAAGTAAGCCCCTATTTATTTGGGGTTTTCTTGTAAGATTTTATTTATTTATTCATGAGAGACACACAGAGAGAGGCAGAGACACAGGCAGAGGGAGAAGCAGGCTCCCTACAGGGAGCCTAATGTGGGACTCGATCCCAGAGCCCGGAGATCATGCCCTGAGCCAAAGGCACATGCTCAACCACTGAGCCACCCAGACATCCCAAACTCTTATTTGCTTAAGTCACTACAGGTTAGGTTTCTGTAAGTTGGCACCAAATGTATTCCTAACAGATACCGTTTCCTATACGCCCTTCATCACTGTTGTTCTTTTCCTTAACAATTGAACGCACCACCCAGCAGTTCAACAGCAGCTGACATGTGATCGCAGCTGAAGCTCGGCCACTCTAGGCACATGGAATCCACGTCTCCGTTGGATTACCTTAGAGACCTGTGGCATTTTATCACCTGAATCAGCACTCTCGTTTTCCCAGCCTCTGTTTATTTTTACAAGAGAAGGGCAAGTGCAGGAACATAGTTTAACAACTGTGTCAACACATGGCACAAAGATGGTGACACCAGCCCAACTGAACCACTGAGTGGTGAGCCAGCCCCCCACTGCGTCAGCTCACGAGGGAAATCCGGATTCCTGGGGCCAAGTGGTTTGGGGTGTCAGTCAAGTACTTATATCAAAGTCTGGGCATTTGAAAGTCAAATGTATAGAAGTCAAGGGCAGCCTGTATGGATGTCAGTGGCCACCCTCATATGCCTAATTGTTTTTAAGCCTCCAAACCAGTAAGATATCACTGAGCCACGACTAACTCAGTGGCTTAAAACAATGTCTATTATTTCTTGGAGGCTACAGGCCAGCTGAGTCCTTCTCCTAACCTGGGCCAAGTGTGACTGGTCTTGGCTGGATTTGTTCAAGGGTTTCAGTTTGTTGTCAGGTCATTCTGGGATGGCTTCATGAGTGTGTCCCACAGGTGGCTGGTGATGAGATTGGGTGACAGGCCTGATTGGATCCCATGAGCTTGCATCCTCCAGCAGGCTAGTTATTCCCACAGTGGCAGCAGGCCTGCAAGAGAACAATCAGAGGCAGACCAGGCCAGCAACCAGCACATCCCTTCCGCCACATGCTATTGACTAGAGAAAAGTCACAGTCATTTCAGTTTCACGGGTGAGTGAAAAAGGCTCCCCTTCTTGATGGGAGAGACTGCAAAGGCATTGGTATGGGAAGAGAAGGAAGACGGGGGACGGTTTTTGTAACCAGACCACCAGAGTTCCCAGAGTGGGAGCTTTTCATTGAGTGGATCGCCGTGGACATCAAGAAAAGAGATGAACAAAACTGGAGGAGCTGGAGAGATGGTTGAGTGGATAAAAGGGAAACACCCCCTCCAGTGGAGAGAGAATGAGCAGCAAAAGGAACAGAGGGAAGAGTTTAGAGAAGCAGACTAAATCAAACTTCTATTCCAATAATTATGTCTCAAAAAAAAAAAAACCCCAATAATTATGTCTCTACTGACTGCCCATTTCCAGTGGTTAAAAACGTTAAACACAATCTCACTAAATCCTCACTCACTCCTTTGAGGGAGTTTCTACTATTAATCCCATTTTATAGATGAGGGAATCAAGGTTCCAAGAGGATCAGGTAATTTGTAGAGAGACACACAGATGAGGAATGCAGGACCCAGGACTTGAAGACAAATCTCTTGGTGTCAAAAGCCCCGGCCCTAGCCAGGACACTATTGTGTCTTTCGGGCCACTTGTTTCTGTCCCCACCTCAGGCCCCCTGCCCAGGCCTGGATTGCTGCGACATCTGAAGACATCCCAGTCTGATTACTTCATCTGGAGATGTCCTAGTCTGATTACTTCCAACCAATTTTTTTCTGTAAAGAACCAGAGAGTAAATATTTTCAGGATCGTGTTGCAATTATTCAGCTCTGCCAGCGTAGGTTGACTTCAGCCAGGGATCGTATTTAAACGAAGGGGCATGGCTGTAAAATTTTATTTATAAAAAATAACTAAATTGCCCCCCCCCTTTAATCCCTTCTCCACCGCGAAGCCAGAGTGAGCCAAACTGAAATGCCGAAACGTGACCCTGCCATTCCTTGCCGAAAGCAGCTCACCAGTATCTCCGGGATCGTCCAAGCCTTTATCGTGGTGTACGAGCCTGTGATCAAAGTGTGGCCCCAGGGCCAGTGGCGTCACCATCACCTGGGGGCTCCTTAGGAGAGCAGGATCTCAGGTCCCAGCTCAGACCTGCTGAATTAGAATTTGCACTCCAGCCAGACTCCCCCGTGATTTGTACACTCCAGTGTGAGAAGCTCTGGCTTCAAGACCCCTGTATCCTGGCGCCTTCCTCCCCCTCCCACTTACCTTTTGCCACTGGAGCCTCCCCGCTCCTGCCCCCCAACCACCTTCCAGCCAAACTGAAATGCTCTGCTCCTCTCTGTCCTTGATACCTTGGTCTCCTGCCCACCTCCCTTCACTGAGCAAATTCCTCCCTACCTCTAGATCTCAGCTTCGATGTCCCTTCTTCCAAGCATCCCTCCATGAAACCCCTGAAATGCACGAGGTACCCCTCTTCTGTGTTTCCACAGCCCTTCCTCACCACCACCCACCACACTGCATGGAAACAACGGAACTGCCGACCTCTCACTAGTGGTTTGCGAGCTCCTGGGAAAGAGACCCCACCCGCCTGGGGTCACTTCTATATGCATCCTAATACTGGGGACAGGAACCACTCAACAACTACAGTTGGAAACTGTACCAAACACACCTACTGCATCTCCCCTGGGCAAGTATCCCCCACAAATACTGTTTAATCAGCCTGTGGCTGCAGGTTCTCGAAACGTTCACCTGGCTCCAAGACTTTGAGGAGTCTTAGCATCTCCAAGATTCCATCTTTCACTAAGCCCAGTGGTTTTTCACAATTAGCAAATGTTTACCATTTGGAGAGGGCCCAAGGGCCTAAGAGATTTCGCAGCAAAATTCTTGAGCAATAAATTAGCCACAGGCCACGACTTGAATTGTATTATGAGGTGTGTGTGTGTGTGGGGGGGAGCCAGGCAGAAGGTTCTAGGCAAAGAAAAAGACTTGAAGGCCGGACCCCCAGGCTGCAAACCTACAGAGCTAGGAACTAACATTCCTGCCCCCTGTGTACCGTGCCAACTCTGCAATCATTCCAGTGTCGCTGAGCAAGAAAAGACTCATACACCCAGATGCTGGAAGCTGGTAAGCTTGTGTCAGGAATCATAAGCCAGTGCATCCACAGGTGCCCTTCAAGAAGAGGGGACCCTCCCCAAATCTGACATTCAGTCCAGAGATTTCTACAAGTTCCTTTATTAACAAAGCAAAGTATCAAAGAACAAGGCCCCTCCAAAGACCCAAAAGATTAAAAGTGCAAATTTACTCCAACCTGAAATAGAAAACAAATGTCTGGCCTCAACTGTGCGGGCCATGGAAATTTGGTGTGATCTAAAACTCGTTGTAATCACACGACTGTAGCAGCGGGATCATATCTGATTAACCCTTTGGTCTCTGTTATTGGAACAAACCATATACTATGACTGCAGCCGACAGACTGCTTCATAATACACAGCTGGGGGTCAGAGTACACATTTAAAATAACAATAAAATAAGAGGAATGTTTTAAAGTCAAGTCACTGAGTCAAGGCACATTTTTTTTTAAAGCAAAAGGTGCTAAAAATATTCCTGAATATCTGACACTTTAAAAACCAGATTACACATAAGTTTTTTAGTCTATTAACACTGTATAGATGATTGCATATTATCTTCGCCCTCTCCCACCTTATACTTGCTAAATTCCCATCAAATCATGTGCTATGTAGGTATAAAAGAAAATAAACAGTAGTGTCTAAGTAATAGACATGAGATTTAAAAAAAAAAAATTAACAAACACCAAGATGATAACACTGAACTTCCTTCCCTCTCAAGGCTCACTGGAAATGTTAATGGGGGTAAAAGAAATGCTATGGAAGCAGGTTAGGTTAATTCCTTTGGAACGCTAGGATGTCAGTTTTGGTGGGAGCCATCCCAGAAAGGGGTGGAAACATCTGATCAAAACAGTGTTCTTGGCAGTGGGAATGGTAGCAAGCCCAAGAAGGTTGGCCTGAAGACCCAGCACTGGTTTCCTGGGGTCCACGGCCACCAACTATCACCGCTAAGCCACAGCTTGGGATACTACTAAAAAAAATAATAATAATTTAAAAATAAGAACAAATAATACAAATAAAAAAGAAATAAGTTATTCTGCAATCCTTCCTGATTACTCATCTGTGAACTCGGACAGAGCCAGAGGAGTTGAGCCTCAACTCATCAGGAAGGAAATGCCAAGAATCAGCCCCCAGTGGTTTGCTTGGAGGATGTGGCTGGACAAGAACAGCTCCAGAATCGAGGGTCCTTCTGGGAATTGTGAGTTAAGTGTTATCTGTGGCCTTGTTAATTTTTTTTTTTTTTTGGTTTGTTTCTACAATAAAGCTTAGCTCTGAGCAATAAGGACTTGAAATATCACACCCCCAACTATGTATAACAACATCACCATAACAATAAATATAACTTTAGACATACTTGGAGGGTCAACTGTATATGGCAGGGGTCGCAAACTGGTGGCGCCAGGCTCAAGTAACTGTTCTATTTGGCCCATGTGGCGTTTGGGACAATTTAACATTAGTTTGTTTAAAAATGAGTAAGTTTCATTAAAAAAAAAAAAAGAAAGAAAGAAATCCTGATTTCTGGTCCCTCTCTCCCTCCCCTTTTCCCAGCACAGAGCTGAACACTGAATGGCTGCCCCACTTAAGAATGGGCACAGTCCCCACCACCCACCCACCCCTTCCCATAAGGATCTCCCTGCCTTGCTTCTGCAGGCTGCTGAGTTTGCGACCCCTGCTTTGAAATAGCACATACCTAAAGATGCCTTTCCTACCCAAACCTCTTGCACCCACATGTGATTTCCACTCCTGGGCTCTCCTTTCCTTTATCTCTTCCCTCGCTTCCCTCTGAAGGCCTCCCTCCTGAATTCTTCAGATTTCTTTTGGTTCGCTTGTTCCTAATCTCCCTTCTTATAGCTTCTTCCATCTCCTGTTGCAAAAAAACATCTTTTCTCAGCCCACGAGCCTTCCAAGATGACTCCCAAGACTGGTTGGTCAGTGGGAATAATGGAAGGGTGTCTTGGGGCAAAAGGGCTGAGTCGTCCTCCCCAAAACTTTTCTTCGGGCACTGGCTGGGCAATTAATCTTTTTTTTTTTTTTAACATGAGCAATTTTGCAGTTTCTTGAATAAGAATATTTGCATACATGAATCTCCTAGTACCAAGTATACACCAAAAATGTGTACATTTCAGATCAAGGATGTGATGGAGCCCTGATAAAATACAGAATTTAGCTTAGTTTAAGTGCCTCGGGGCAGCCATCACACCTGGCTAATACGCCTTATTATTTCATTTGTACACAGTACATGTTTGGGATCGCTAAACATTGATCAAAATTGATCGAAATCTCTGAGTTTTGGTTGCCATGTACAGAGAACAATCGCTCAGCATGGCCCTTAAATAAGACATTAATATTTTAAAAATTCACAAACACAATGCCCCACTAATTAAAACATAATAATAAAATTTTAAATTCTTGAGGATGGATGAGGCTTTGGGTAATTAACCTGAAAAAACATAACAAAACCACTACAAGAACAGAATGTTACCAGATTTAAACTTCAAAAGATGAGTAAGATTTAAAAAAAAAAAAAAAAAAAAGGAACCTATCAGCTGAGCTGGAGACATTTGGAAAGTTCAGCTTTTAAAGCTTTATAATTCCTCCAATAGCCTTGCTGCTCCCACTTCAGTAGACTTAATGACTACATGGGGAACTGTGGCTGATATGAAAACATTATAAATATATATTTATATATATGTATATAAAGATCTACTTACTCTTCTCATGTTTTAAAAAGTAATTTTAAGAAACACCATGCAGTTTATATCTTTGCAGAAGCTGGTAGACCGATCCCTTTGCTTGAACTCTGTACCTTATGACCTACCGCTGACCTTAAAAGCTGGGAATGACCTTTAGGATATCAAGAGGAACTGTCCTCAGAACAACCTCAAAGAGAAGGCATGACATTTGCAACGGTTTCTTTTACAGTCCAAGGTTGCAAAGGATGTAAGAAGTCTCTGCAGCCCTCGTAAGGATTCCCTGCAAATCATTTATTCCCAATGGTTTCCTGCAGTGGCCAGGTAGATCCCCGAAAGAAAGTTTAAAGAATTCCCTCAAAATAACTCAGAAGTTAAACCATGGCCCTATCCAGGTGGCTACTTCTGTCTTCCAAGTTTTACCTTTAAGAGTCTAAGGAAATACATGTCTTTGCCAAAAAAGATTTTTTTAAAGTCTCAAAGTCTAACACTGGGTGGGAGTGGTTGCATTTTCTATTAGGCAAGCAGATGATGGACTACTCTGAACCTAAACCTAAGCTGAGTTGGGGATATGTATGTCCAAAGAGAAAAAAACCAGCACACTGCTGGCAAGAGCTGTCACCGCTCCCCTCCTCCCCCTCACTCGCTCTCCTTGACTGACTGCTGACCGGATGGTCAGAGAGCATGGAGCCCAAGATCCTGAGTTCTATGGGAAATGCCTTACAAGACCTGGGCTGAATCAGTCGCTCCTCCGAGCTGGCCTTAGGATCGCTCACAGGCTGCCGAGGGCAATGGGAGAGAAATGTGGTAACCACTCACCATCACTGAGCAGTGGCCGAGAGAGCTAACTCCATGCCAGGCACTACAGCAGGCATTTCCTCATTATCTCATGAAGCGCAGAAAGAAATTTCCATGCAGAAGAGTTTGTTCAAAAGGCTTCAAACAACACCGTATCTGTCTCCAGCCAGCAGCAGGCTCTGATGAGTCACCTTGATAGGCAAACACTGATATGCATCTTTCTCAAAACCCACCATGTTTTGAGTCCTGGCCAGTGTTGTCCTAAACATGTTCTCTTTTGCTACTTTGCACCCCACCTGGCTCCCCGTGAGCTCTTCTGCTACGAATGGGTGTTGACTGGTACATATCCCAGTGTGTGCCTGCAGGCAGGTTAAGCAAGCCTGCTTTTTAAGACTGCACATTTCTTAATAACAAACGTAACTGGTCTCCCTTTGGGATGCAACACTTGGCCCTGGCAATTACCACAAAATGAAAGGACTGATCAAAATAAAGTGCTATCTGCTCTGGAAGTTTCTCTAACCAACTCTTCACTGCCTCTCAACACCTGTGACTTAATTCTTTGCAATCCTGTCAAGCAGCCCTGATTGCACCGTTTAAGAAACACATTAATATCAATGTGAATAGTGGAAACTGTTCCTCACAATATGAGCCCCTAGAATAGAACTTAAATTCCAGTTGTAGACAAAGATTCAGATTTTTTAAAAGACAATCAGGAACCCAAAATATAGCAGGCAGTTAGAACAACAACAACAAAAAAACCCATTAGCTTCTTTGGGGGGTGGGGGCAGAGATCTGGGTCTCGAAACCTGACAAAGGAACTTTCTCTGTAGCTAGTTCTTGCTTCCTTTATTGGGCTTCCCTAGAAGCTGGATCCTTCTACGGAATCATTCCACACAAACCAACATTTTGAACCAACTCTTCCCTGCTGGTGTTTGAGGTCTTTCTGTAGCTTGCTCAGGACACGCTGGTGGGTGTGAAGAAGACGCCATAACTAGACTGGATTGCAGAGCCCGGGGTGACATTTAAGCCCCCAAATGTCACCCTCCGAATTTTCCAACACCCTTGGCACCTCATTTCCTTGCATTAAACTGGCTTCATCGCCCTCCCCACCCTACGGGGTGGGAGAGGCTATAGGAGCATTAGGCCTGGCGGCGCACTGTCCAGATTTAGGGCTGATCTTCAGGGAACCCTTGCGTGCGCTGACTCCCGGGTTGAGGGCACATGTCCAGGTAGCGAGGACCCCCGTAGACCCGGAGAAGCTGGGGCAGCCTTCGCCATGTGGACAGCAATCGCGCCGCCGCAAGTTCCCGGGCGTGCCTGTCGAACGCCGCCAGGAGGTCGACGGGGGCAGCTTCCCGCAGCACCTTGGGCAGCGGGCCGACCTCGGCAGCTGCCCCTCCAGGGCCCAGGACGCAGTGGAAGAGCGTGTGGCGCCGCAGCAGGCAGTCCCGGAGGAACTGTACTAATTCGCCCAACCGCTCGCACAGGTGTGCCTCGTCCCAGCCTTGACCCGGAGCCCCCTCACGCAGCAGCACCGCCAGCAGCGCCGTCTTGAGCACATACGAGGACAGGATGCGTCCCCACTGGGTGGCGGCCGTCGGGTCCAGCCCGCGGGCGCCCAGATCTCGCAGGGCTTTAAGCAGCTGCAGGCACTTGAGGTAGCAGGCACCTGGAGGGGCCCGTTCCTGCAGCCAGCTCAGCAGCTTCTGCTCCTGGCGAGCGGTGTTCACGCCCCACAGCGCGTCCGTGCGCAGGCCTCCCGGGAGCTCCGGCAGGGGCCCGACGAGCGAGGGGGACGGTGACGGTGGTGGCGCCACCAGGAAAACGCCATCGCCCACGTGCACAGCGGGGATGAGACGCACTGCCATGGAGAGGCGGCAGCAGCCGTAGTCGGTGCGGCAAGGCAGGATGTGCAGGGTGGGAGGCTGCTCCAGGCCGCCGGGGGTCAGGCTGACCCGACAACGCCCCTCCAGGCTGTAGCGCACGGTGGCCAGGGAGCGCTGCAGGTGCGCCTGGAACCAGCGCAGCACCAGCGAGGCGGAGAGGTGCCGCCGCCCGAGCACGTCCACGCAGAAGCCGTCGGCGAAGGGCCTGCAGTCCCGGAGCCACCGGCTCGCGGGGGCCCCCGGCGGCGCCTTGAGCGCGCACACGAAGCAGCCGAGAAAGGCCGGGGCGAGCGCCGCCTCCGCGCCCAGGCTCCGCGGCTCCAGCGCCACCGGCGGCGGCAGACGCAGCGGCACCAGCACGTCGAAACCGTCGGGCCGCCGGATTTTATGCTGCTCGTAGGCGCTGCCCACCTGGATGAAGTCTCCGCGGAAGGCCAGCGCCAGCGCCCCGCCGGGGATGGGGCCCGGGGACCCCCGGGCGCGGCCAGCGCGCACCAGCTCGCCCACGATCCGGCTCACGTGCGCCTTGCTGTGGCCCAGCACGTGCGGGGACAGGCGCACCTCGTGCTCGTAGTAGCTCTCCAGCAAGATGCCCAGGCTCGGCTCTCGGAAGTGCCTCGGCGAGAAGGTGGAGTGGCTCCCCAGGCGAGGAGCGCCCGGCAGGAAGCGCTGCCGGACGGCGTGGCGACAGCGCAGGAGGACGTAGCCGAGGAGGAGCAGCACGGCCACCTTGAGCAGCGGGAAGCCGCCGTCCGCGCCGTCGGGGGGCTGCGCGCGGGCGCCCCCGCTTCCCCGGAGGACATGGTACAGGCACACCAGGGCCGTGCAGAGGCCGGTCACCAGGGGCCAGAAGACGCGCAGGTTGAGGGTGTAGTGCACCGACATCGCGGGCGCGCGGGGCAGCGGCGTCCGTGCGGCCCGGGCCGCGAGCCCCGGCGGCGCCCCCGGCCCAGCATGCGGGCAGCGCCCCGGCGGCCCCGCGGCCCGGGTCTCCGTCGCCTCCGCGGCGGCCGCCCCCTCGCACGGCCGGGGGAAGGCGCCCTCCAGCGCGGCCTCCTCTCCCAGCTCAGGCGTCCCCTGCAGCCGCGGCCCGCCCTGCGCTCCCGGGCCCCGGGCCGCGCCCTGCGCCGGCGGCGCGCTCCGTCCCGCGCGGCGGCCCTCGGCGCCCGGCCCCCCGCCCCGCCCGGCCCGGCCCGCCTCCTACCCCGGCCGGCGCTCCGGGGCTCCCCGGCGCGCTCTCCCCGCTGCTCGGCCGCCGGAGCCCCCTCTTCCGAGGGGAGGCGAGGCCGCGCCAGCGAGCGGGGAGGAAATGCCGGAGTCTGGCGGCGCGCGCCGAGCCGCCGGGCGGCGGGGCCCCCTCCCCGGCCTCCGCCTTACAGCGACGCGGGGCGGCGGGAGGGACTTCAGGGCGCGCTCGGAACTGGCTCCTCGCGGGCCGCCCCTCTCCCCTCCTCCCCGAGGGCAGGCCTCGGAAGGCCCCGATTCCGGGGCGGTGGCCGCGCCCGGGGAGTCCTGCTCGCAGAAAGTTACGCTGGAAAGTTGAAAAGGAAGAGGAGAGGAGCTCGCCCCAGGGCGTCCCTCCCCGCCCCCGCCCCCGCCCAGCGGGTCGTGGCGTTGGTGGCGTGGCAGGCGCGGCGCCGGGCCCTCGTCCACGCCCCGGATTGCCTAAGCACCTACTACGTGCCAGGCTGGGAGCTGGGGGCGCTGCAGCCCACGGGGTCAGCCGAGGTCTCTGCCTTGGGAGAGCCTCCAGCCTTTCTGAAAAAGGAAACCAAAAGAGAAAGGATCCAATGCTCCGCAAGAAAGGATGCTGTGCTGGGCGGCGAGAAGGCTGAGAAGTGGGGGCTGCCCCCCTGGAAGCCCGAGGCTCCCTGAGGGCTGACGTGTGGCCTGAGGTCTGAATGCGGGGGAAGCCGGCCTTGGGAATAACAATTTATTGTCCTAAATAACAAGTCTTCTTCCGGAGGACTTGCTGTGTGCAGGCACTGGGCTAATCACGTTACACACGCTCACTCCTCTTGTTAATCTTTTTTTTTTTTTTTAAGATTTTATTTATTTATTCATGAGAGACAGAGAGAGAGAGAGAGGCAGAGACACAGGCGAGGGAGAAGCAGGCTCCATGTAGGGAGCCGGACGTGGGACTCGACCCCGAGTCTCCAGGATCACACCCTAGACCAAAGGTGGCACTAAACCGCTGAGCCACCCGGGCTGCCCCTCCTCATGTACACTATCATCTTCCCCATTTTTCAGATAAGGAAACCCAGGCAGAGCTGGCTTGGGCCGCTTGCCCAGGGTCACACAGCTTTGGCAGAGTTGGGCCTTGAATAGAGGCTTCTAGCTGCAGGGAAGCCAGGCGGCAGGACCACGGGGTCCTCTCCTCAACTGCTGGGAATTCATCCAGGCCTCTGGAAGCTTTGTTTTGTTTCATAACAGGAGTACGCCCTGAAATAATCTGGAGTTGTTTAATTAAACTGGATTTACTTAAATAATCACCTTTATTTATTTATGTTCATTGCACCTTCCCCCCTCCCAACACCATTTAATGAGAGCAAAGGTGAAAGGCATTAAAAATGTCAGAACTCAGCTGCCGTCTGAGACTCAGGACACAGGGGATGGCTCCTGAGTTAAGCATTGGGATGAATCCCAGGAAATCCTGGGTTGAGCTTCTTGGAGCTAAGGAGACCTGCTTTCAGATCCCATCTCTACTACTATTAGCCATGGGCCCATTGCCTACTTGTCTGGGTTCTTTGGCTTGCGAGAGAAAGGAATACAGCTAAAAAAAAATAATTTACTGTGTCAGTGTTAAGTGAGATGTCCAGGGAATCCTGGTACAGTTGGATCCAGGTACTCTCCATCCCCTTCTGAGCTCTGCCTTTTTCTGAGATGGGGGCACTAGGCTTTCTCCGCATGCCCCTGGCTGCTCTAGCCTCACGTTATCCTCACATTAACCTCAGTGCAGGAGGAAAAGAGAGAGCTGTGCTTGCCTGAAAATTGTAGCAAATGCCACACCTAGAGATAGGCTTGAGACGTATCCTAAAAGTGACCAAGTTAGAGGCACCTGGCTGGCTTGGTTGGTAGAGCAAGTGATTCTTGATCTTGGAATCGAGAGTTTGAGCCCCATGCTGGGGATAGAATTTACTTTAAAAAAATTTTTTTTTAAATAAATACATGAAAGTGGCCAAGTTAGACAATGCACTGATAAACCTGGGCTGGTGCAATGGACTGTTGTGTCCCCTCAAAATTCATATATTGAAACCCTAGGGATGCCTGAGCAGCTGAGCAGTTAAGCATCTGCCTTCAGCCCAGGGCGTGATCCCGGAGTCCCAGATTGAGTCCCCCATCGGGCTCCTTGAATGGAGCCTGCTTCTCCCTCTGCCTGTGTCTTTGCTTCTCTCTCTGTGTCTCTCATGAATAAAGAAATAAAATCTTAAAAAAAAGAAAAAGAAACCCTAACCCCTGCTGTGACTGTATTTGGAAACAGCTTTTCGGTGGCCATTAAGGTTAACTAAGGTTATAAGGATGGGTCCTATTGCAACAGGACTGGTGTCATTATAAGAAGAGGAAGGGGCACGTGGGTGGCTCAGTGGACAGAGCCTGACTTCTGGTTTCGGCTCAGCTCATGTTGTCATGGGTCCTGGGATTGCAACCGAAGTGGGGCTCTGAGCTCAGTGAAGAGTCTGCTCAGAGATTCTCTCCCTCTGTCCCTTCCCCCGCAAGCTGCATTCGTACACATGCGCACTCTCTCACTCTCTCTCTCAAATAAATCTTAAAAAAAAAAAAAAAAAGAAGAGGAAAATCTAGAGGTCTCTTTCCATACATACACACACACTAAGGAAGAACCTTGTGAGGACACAGCAAGAAGGTGACCATCTGTGGGCCAGGAGGAGAACTTGCACCAGAAACCAGACCCTCTGTACCTTGGACTCTCCAGCCTCCTCAATTGTGGGGAAAGTAAATTTCTGTTGGTTTAGTCATCCAGTCTATGGTATATGGAGCCCCAGCTGAACAACACAGTTGGGGGTGGGGTGAGCCCTGTCCTGCCCCTGAGGACTGTGGGAGGGGTATCCCCCCAAGAAAAGCCGCAGCGCCAGTGCTGGAAGAAGGGAGATGCTCTGGCATGCAAAAACAACAGGTGGCCACCAATTTTGGATACATCTCTTAATCTCACTTTGCTTCAATATCCCCTCTAATCTATGGAATGGGGGCAATATTAACAGAGTACTATGTTCTCCCAATCGGAAATGGTGGCATGTGTCTTCAGCCATACAAGAAAGGGCAACTCTCGGGGCACCTGGGTAGCTCAGCGGCTGGGCATCTGCCTTCAGTTCCAATCATGATCCCAGGGTCCTGGGATCGAGTCCCACATCAGGCTCCCCGCAGGGAGCCTGCCACTCTCTCTGCCTATGTCTCTGCCTGTTTCTCTCTCTCTCTCTCTCTCTCTCTTTTTTTTCTTTTGGAGATTTTATTTATCTATTCATGAAAGACACATGGACACCCTGGGCCAAAGGCAGACACTCAACTGCTGAGCCACCCAGGTGTCCCTCTCTCTATGTTTCTCCTGAATAAATAAATACAATCTATACAGAAAACATCAACAACAAAAAAGGGCAACTCTCAGCCAACATTTTTTGTTGTTGTAAAAGACCAGAGAATAATTATTTTAGGTCCTACAATCTCTGCTCCGACTACTTGGGTCTGCTGTGATAGGCCAAAAGCAACTGGATTCATGTCCCAGGGCTGCTATGACAGAGAATCAGTTTGTGATTCTCTGTCACAGGGGAGGGGGAGGTCTTGAAATAACATAAATTTAATCTCTCACAGTTCTCAAAGGCAAAACTGGCTGGTGCTCCCTCTGAAAGCTTTAGGGGAGGACTCGTCCTGTTGCTGGTGGCCCCAGGCCTCCCTTGGTTTGTAGCCCCATCACTCTGCTCTAATCCCTGCCTCTCTCTTCCTATAGGCTTCTCCTCTGCATCTGTATCTTTTCTTTTTCCATCTCTTGTAAGGACGCTTGTCACTGGATGTAAGCCTAGTGATCTCATCCGGAGATCTTTAACTTATTACACCTGCAAAGATTCTCTTCCCAAAGAAGGTCACAATCACAGGTTTCAAGGGTTAGGATATAGACATATCTTTGGGGGGGCTGGTGTATTGGAAGAACTTCGGTTTTCTTTCTTGGGTATCTCCTTTACTACTCACACCGCAGACCCTACTTCTGACACTTCAGTCCATCAAACCAGGCCCAGGTTTTCCTGCACGACAAGCAATTCTTTGCCACGCCAGCTGGGTGTCCTACAACCTAACCCATTCTGACACTCTCTACCTGGAGATGGTATCAGATCCCACAGGTTAAGAGCTCATTCCCCTGAGCCTGTCCCCACACTTCAGATGCCAGTCATAAATAGTAGGTCCCCAGCTGACCCACTACTTCTGTCCCACTTGGCTACAAATTGGAGGCTCCCCCCTCCAATAACCCCCTCCTTAGGTTTGATTAATTTGCTAGCAGAGCTCAGAACTCAGGGAAGCATGTTTACCTATTTATTAAAGGATAGGATAAAGATTTTTCTGTCCCTGTGAGGTGGGGGTGTCACTCTTTAAAGGGTGCCATGTCACCCTCCCCGTGCATGGATGTGTTCACCAACCTGGAAGCTCCCCACACTGTGTATTATTGAGATTTTATGGAGGCTTTCTCACATGGGCATGATCAATTATTAACTCAATTTTAGCCCCTTTACCATCCCTGGAGAAGCGGTGGGGTTGCTGAAAATAACAAGCTGCTAATCATGCTTGGTCTTCCTGGTGACCAGACCCCATCCTGGAACCATTCAGGAGCCCACCCAGAGTCACCTCGTTGGAACAAAAGATGTTCTCTGTGCTGTTATCACCTAGGAAATTGCAAGGGTTTTAAGAGCTCTGTGCCAGGAACCAGGAGCAGAGACTAATACATATATTTTCTGTTATTTCACAG